TCTCTCTCTCTCTCCCCCCCCTCTCTCTCTCTCTCTAACCGCGCCCTTGACTTTCACTCTTCCCCGCGTCGCCACCTCTCGCCACCCCATTACCCACCCTTGGCAGAGCGCCACTGCAGTGTCAGTCAATAGTCACCTGGTTCCCCTCTTTGGCTGGTACACTGTCCTGAAACAATGTCGAGATATGTGTTCCTGTTGAAAGAGATCCTATACCGTTCCCTGCCGCATGGCCGGGCAGACCCGAGTGTGTGTGTCCAGCTGAGCTGTCCTTGGGTCATGGCCCTTTTATCCTCCAATATAAGGCCCAGCAAGGCCAGAGAGAGAGAGAGAGAGAGAGAGAGATCGTTGCTGCACGCGAGGCACACTCCAGGACAGGCGTTCGCCCTGCTATCTATGCAAAACTCATACTGCGCCGACAACCTTTGCACAACACATTTGTCCATATGTAAACCTTGAAGTTTTCACTGTTAGCAAAAAAACTCTGGAATTTCAGGAAAAAGTAGTCGTGAAGTAAATTGCCAACGTCTTTTGAGTTTTCCCAACGGCGCCCGTAGCAGTATTTTTTTTTCCAAAAACGGATATTGAGTGCTTTTAAAAAAAATGGCAAAGATAATTTTAACTCGTTATCCTTGTAGACATGTTGGTCAGGGATCTCTATAACTATTAACCACCTCCAAACCTAAAAACGAAGTCCTGTGGAAATGTTAATGATAGTTGTCAGTGAGCATTTGTGAATTCCTAGAAATTTTCTGACAGTATGTTTTTGTCGAAAGTATTGGGGTTTCCTTCAAAAGGAGAAGTGCATTTGGCTCGGGTAATTCACATCCGCAGCCCTTTCTTCTCCTGCAGAGGCTGCTCTGCTCTCGGCTTTCCTCCCTTGCGGTACCCGCTAGAGGCCACTAGCAGGGTATGCCCGCGTTCGGACCTATAGCTAAGCCGAGGCTCAACTCCCGGCGGAGTGCAGGGAGCCATAACCCACCTCAAACTGTGCCATCTCTCCCCTGCATTAGTAAAGATGGCCTGGTGAGGGAAGGGGGAGGTTATAGGTGGAAGGGGGAGGGCTGGGCTGGGGAAAGGGAATACAGGCCAGTAGGGCGGCGGGCTCGTGGCTAACCGCGGCCAGCCCTACCGGAACGTAATAATATCACCCTGCAGTCTCTCTCTCTCTCTCTCTCTCTCTCTCTCTCTCTCTCTCTCTCTCTCTCTCTCTCTCTCTGTGTGTGTGTGTGTGTGTGTGTCAAATACACACACACTATATTCGCTGTCCTGTTCCTGTCTCGCACACACACTCACACATTAAATAACATATTACGATCTGCCAACGACAGCGCTTTCAGCTAAACACGTTCAAAGTTTCTGAATTGTAACAAGTGACGGTTAAAAGAAGATTTAAGATTGCATTTTCCGCAGAGTGCGCCTCTCTTCTCCAGCTTCTAGCGCGCTTGAAGCCTCTCCGCCTCCGCGGCGAGAGGGAGCCGCGGAGGGGACGGTGACAAGTACAAGTACCTCTACACAGCTCCAGCCAAGCCCTGGCGCAACCCCTTGCTGGCGACACGGAGGGAGCGAAGGGGTCGGCAGGAAGGAAGTGTAGGAAAGAGGAGGAGGACGTCAGGGGAGCGGAGAGAGGGCAACGCCATATAAAAGTCGAGGTTAGCGGGCTGGCTCCGACCGGCCGAGCCCCGGCGCTGCCCCGGCCCAGAGACGAGACGCTACTAACTTTGTCAGTTTGCCATAAACATCAATCTCTCCTTCAAGCTCTGGCCGCCACTCTGAGAGAGGAAAAGGGTGAGGCGCGGTGGGGTGCGCACGGTCGGCCTGGTGGGGTGGGATGCAATGTGGCAGGTGGGGTGTCGAGGCAGGTGGGTAGGGCGGGCAGGGTGCTGGGTCCAGACAAAGACACATTATTTTTGGCGTTTTGGTTCAGCACCTCGGTCCTTTGGCGTCGACGTCGGGCCGATGTACCGCACCCATGTCTATACCTGCAGCAGGGCAGTCAGGGCTCGAATTAAAAGGCCTGTGGCACTTGTAATTCTACAGAGAGAGTTTCTAAAAATTCAGTACTTTATATAGAAAAATACATTGAAGCTTTGAAGGCTTATACTGTAACGCAATTTATAAACATAATTTTTCCATGTACCTGTCATATATCAGGAGCTACACAGTTTGTTCCTAAATGGTAAATGACGAAAGTTCTATGCATACTTTGCTTTAGTTCTCTTTGCTGTGTTCGGCCACGTGCGCGGCGTAAGCGACGACGGGGGTCCGATCGACAGCTTTGTCCATTCCGCTGACTCAGCCTTCGGTATCGGGCTTGCCTATCGCAGCCGAAACGCGCCGGAAGCGCTGTCAAACCTGAGCAGAACCGGCTGGTGCAGGGGCCTTACCTCCCGCAGGGCCTTCCCTTCTCCCTAGGGCAGGGAGGGGGGGGGGGCGACCTCCCAGTCCCAGGTCGCAGTATAGGGACGTCGGAGAACCACATTCAGAACTCTTTGGATGAATCTCGCTTCCGCCTGCCCCCAAAAGAAAGGAAAAAAGTTTGGAAATAAAAGCTTACATTTCTCTAGACACTTTCTTGACTGTTATGAGAATTTCTCGCACGACCTACAGAGATAATTTTATTGGAAAAAAGAGGACTAGCATTTGGGTCGGTTGCCGTGGGCTGCGGCAAGCCCTGGTAGCAGCGTCTCCCTGTGGTGGTCCTCGACCGCGCGCCTCAGATCGTTTCCTTATTGAAACTGATTGGCCCAATTATGGCTGTGAAAAGCTCTGGGTTTATCCGGTTCTAATGGGACCCCGCCGGCGTGTCTGCCGGTGGAGTGGACACCGGGGTGGAGGGGGCAGCGGTGCAGAGCTTGCTGGACCGGTATGAGAAACTGCTGCTGCGCAGTGTCGTCATTTTGGCGGGAAACAGCAGCCCGCCACGTGCATTGTGGCGGCGCGGCGGCCCGGGCCGAGTGCCTCTCTGTCACTGTCACTCACGGGTGGCCCTTTCATATCCGAATCCTGGATCGTATGGTTTTGTTTCCCTTTTCCTGTACACCATTGAGGTGATGCGTCTGTAGGCTAGCGCGTCAATGGTCTCACAAAGTTTCGCGCGTGCTGCCTTCTTTGTGGGTGTTGCGGGACATTTGACCATGCATGGTCCAGCGGACCTGGTGCCAGGCCATGCCGACGAGAAAGGTGTCACACCAGTCTGAATCAGTCCAACTGCTAGTTGCTTTTTTTTTCCCTGGTTAAAAGGGACAATTTGTATTGTAACAGGATGGGCTCCCTTATAGCAGTTCGTATGTACTACCTCGTAACAAAAGTTTGAATTTCAACCTCCTAGACCTCAATTTTCAATCTAGGGTATAACCCCCTATTCAGAATTTTCCTCTCGCTTCTGTAACGTGGCTTATAGGAGAGGAGCAGTTCACATTGCGTGTTGACGAAGACGTATGTAGTCTTTACGAAATAAGGCCGGCCAACCGCCGGGCCACTGCTCGGCTCGCGCGAGGGAAGTAATATGGAATTCATCAGCGAGGATTGTGTCTTCTTTTCTCCCATCGCACTATGCGTCGCGTGGCCGTGGGGGGGCTGCGGGGGCGCGGTTGTGGGCCTCGCCGCGCAGACGTTGATGGAGGGATGGAGAGAGGCTCCTGAATATTTCGGCACTGCGTCTTTGTGCGTGGTGCTCGCTTGAATGTGAAAGCGCGCGCGTGTGAGTGTGTGTGTGTCGGGGGAGGTATATTGTTTTCCGTGGTGTGGATGGGATTCGGTCGACAGTGTGCCGCACGCAGCAGTTTGTGCAGTGCTCAATTATTATTTTAATGTAGAGGGTTGGAGGGTAGACTCGACATGTGCTCAGTTAATCCGAAACACGTGTACAGGGCACGGATTTGTATACATTAGCGCGTGAAAAGCGGCACATTTGCAAAGTGTCAGAAACTTTCGACGGGTTTGTTTCATCAGACCCTGCGGGGTTTTATACTTTTTGTCTGCACTAGAGAGCAGAACCATCAAGTATTGTGTAACCTCATTTCTCTACCCGACCTGTGCAAAAAAAAGGGCGGAAAGGTGTAATTTTCTTAAAACTGAGCGATAATTTTCTAGTGGCCTACCCTGCGCGGCCTACCAAATGGGGCGCACGCTTGCCTGTAATGAGACTGTTGTGGGACTGCCTCGGGGAACAATCGCTCACGGGCAGGGCCGGGCTGCACACGCTGCCCGCGCCCCGCTGGACCCCGCAGAGCCCTCGAGGGCGCCCCTTTTAGCCCCATGGCTCCTCTGGGGCCCGAGTTGAAGGAGTGGCTCTGAAGCAGAGCGTGGCAGCAAAACGTGCGGGAAAAGCGTCCTCTCCATAAATTCGGTTCTTTTAGTCACTTTCCTGAGGAACAAAACATTTCTTGTCGCGGGGGCAAAGACTGCGACACTAATTGCAGCGGTGAATTTAATGTTCAGTTGAGTACTTAAAGGCCCGTTTTTTTTCGTTTCAGGTCCACTTTGGCGGCGACGATGTGAGCCTGTACGGGACCCCGAAGGAGGAGCCGGGGCCCGGCCCTATGGGCGCCCCGCAAGGGGATGGGCCCTCCAAGCCTTCCTTCCTCAAGAACCAGCTCCAGGCCCTCTTCCAGCCCACCGACAACAAGCTGGCCATGAAGCTGTTCGGCTCCAAGAAGGCGCTGATGAAGGAGCGGATCCGACAAAAAGCCGCCGGACACTGGGTCATCCATCCCTGCTCCAGCTTTCGGTAAGGACTTGTCACTCACAACATGAAATATGCAAAGAGTACACAGGGGAAAAGCGGAAGTCGAAAGCGATGGTCTATGGGGTGTCCTCTTTATTGCTGCAAAATCGCTATTCGCTCCAGCCATATCGGGAACAAAAATGTATGCGGTGCAGAGTTGAGTATGGTCGCTCGACACCAGGACTTGCACAATACTCTGGCTGATCACTGGCCCGCACCCGCATCACGCCGACCCTTTTGTGGGCGATCATTGTGCCCCTCGCTGAATGGCAACCACCCGAGTGCCCGCCTGGCCCACCTCTGTCGGCCGGAACGCCAGCAGCCCAGCGCCCGGAGGGTCGGCGGGCGCTGCGGTGAGGAGGCGGTTCGGGCCGTGCCGGGACCGCCTCGTGTTCCACGGCCCCGGATAATTCCGCCCACTCGATTACGCTGTCTGCGGAATACCAAGGGTGATTCATTCTCCCCTGTAGGGTAGGCAGCCCTAGCACGCCCCGGCGCCACAATGGTTGCCTATCCGCACGGCGCTTTACAGAGGGCTCCGTGTTGTATAAGTGCTCGACTGTGTATAGTTGGTTCACTAAATGTAGACACCATACGAACACAAACGAAAATCGAAACAATCGCTGGGCTCTCTTTGTCAACGCAATAAGCTGTTCGGTTACGCACATTACAAGAGTCAGGTAGCCTGTCTAGGGCTGCCGGAGACGCCCGCGCCTGCCTCGCTGCCTGAGCCTGCCTTGGCCGCCTCCGCGCGCTCCCCACACTCGCTCTTGGCTGCCCTAGGAAAGGGACGTTCGGGTGGCCCGGACCCGGCTTGCCGCGTCGTTATGACGCGCACAGTGGGGCTCCGGGACAGGCTCCAGGCCAATGGTGTCTACATTTAGTGAACCAACTATACCAACGGTCCGTCTTGATCCGGTCCAACTGTTCCACGGGAAAGTACACCCGTAGCCCGCTTTTGACCCTTACTTTCCGCGTTTCCCTCCTCGTTTTAAATAAAGTGTCCAACCGCTGAGCACCCGCGGCAGATATCAAATGCCGTGTTGCATACTCTTGTTAGTTAGTCATTTGTGACATCACTGACGTTAACGTTTTGTGTCTACGTGACAAGGAGCAGGTACTGTCCTTTCGGAAACTGAAATAATAAGGTCCCCTCCATATATTTCATGGTGCTCCCGTGCCTGTGCGCGCGCTCTCGTAGCTCTGATGCGCCGCCCTGCCGCACCGACCTGCATGTTGCATGACGGTTGACCTGCCCTCCCTCCGCACCGCCCCCACGCCCGCTCGCACACAATGCCCTGAGCCCTCTCCCGCCAATAAAACACATGAATAAATTATCGCGTGCTTTACACGTGCCTGCATGCTCGTTCATTTGCATCCCAATTCACCCTCCTACCCCGGCACCCCCCAACTCCTCATACAACCCCCTTCTTTTCCTCGTTCCTTTCCCGTGTCTTCTTTCCGGAACAACGTGGCACCGCCGCTTCGCCAATAAGACAAGGACTTTAGTAGTTGTGTAACTAATTTGGTTGTTCATTCTACCCCATGAGTTTTCCTCAAAGGTCGTCCTCGTGTAGGACAAAAGAGGGCCCCCTACAAAATTCCCGTTGTAGCTACGCTTCTTTAGCCCGGCAGGAGCGGCCTCGCCCAGCCCCGCATTCAATGTGTAGTTATCACTAATGCAAGCGCTGCGCTGGGAAGTTCATACAGAGCGCTGCTCTGGCGGCTGAGGATGGCAGTACTATCGCACCCCTGCGATCGCGCTGCCGAATTTTGATCGTGCACTGGCAACTTTTACTCTTGATCCCTTTACAATTCGTGAATGGTGAATGAAATGCCAAAACGGTACCACCCATTGATTTTCATTTTTGGCGTATAATTTCACGTTTGTTATCTGCATTCAAGCGAGTAGTTCCAATTTGGAGGCAGGATTATGCATGCACACCACTCTCTGCTTCGACATCTACCAAGACCAAGAAAGTACAACAATCCGATACTGTTGTAGGGGACGTGGTCAACCATTCGAATGGGAAAGGATGGACAGCGTCGGCTACTTTTGTGCGTAGTGTGCATCGGAAAACAAGATGGACACGCTTCTCTCGTGAATAAGACATCAGGTGGCCGCAGCATTGCCTCTGCGCGGGGCGGGGCGGGCGAGCCTCCGGCTGGGCCAAGCCGCTGAATAGAAATGTGGTCATTACTCGAAATCTATGGGGGCCACATTCATCTTGGAGAGCCTCTCCGCTGGACCACACCAGCCGCCGAGCCACCGGGCCGTCCAGTGTGCTCGTTCAGCCTTTTACACCGATTTTCATCCCCCCCTTACCCCACCCCGGTTCGCTACTGCCCCTCCTATTCTCGGCCTGAAAGGGTTTTCCCCAGAAAAAAAAAGTTTCGATTATAGGAAAAGTCCTGGACAAAATTAATTGTTGGCGATGACTCTTTGCATTCTGTGCGAGTGCTACCGGCGTTCTGTCAGTTGATTTTCCTTGCAGCGATTTTATGTTATTTACTTGTGCCATACTCGGCATATCAGAGGAACAAATGGTTGCCGCGGATAGGAGTGTAGGGTGGCGCACAGGGTCCAGGTATGAACGGGCGGTGACGCACAGCTTCCTGCGACAAGGGAGAGTTATTGGGACCCGAACTCATATAGGAGGGATTAGCCAGTAGCGAGACGGCCGGCTCACTCTGGGAAGTATCGCCCGGGAATTCATCACAAATTTAGACAATTAGTTGGCGCTCGCCGCTCATGGGAGAGAGAGAGTGGGGACGGTCTAGGCGGCGGCCAAGGGCGTAGTTATTCATTAGGTTATGACTCCTTTCACGAGACTTTGGTCGACCAATAATTTCCACTGTTCCCGCGACGTCAAGTTAATTTGTGTGATAGGCCCACTGTAATGTCGAGCCGTTTCGAAGGGGGGGGGGAGGAATTATCGTTTCACTTACTCATCTTGGAATGCAAAAGAGTCATTCATGGTTTCCGTTCCGGAGTTGACCATCGGTGTAACAAACTACAAAGTAATATTTTAGGGTGGTCGTACCATTTTCTCTTACTGTGTTTACAGGGGCTCACTGACGTTTGAAGACGGTGGTTCTTAGAAAAAACAATTGCTCTTCCTCTTACCCACGCAAAGTTTCATGACCCAATTTCCATGATTGTGTGTGAATTATGCTCGCGGGGTGCTGAGCGGCGCTGAGCTTCTACTAATTCATTTCGATGGCAGCGATAAGGGGCGGGGATAAAAACACATTCAGATTCACAAGTCGGCAAAAGTTCTAAATGGCGGCGAGCGTTAGAGGGAGAGACAGGGCTAGGGTGGCTGGGAAGGGGGGAGCGCAAAACGTGACCCAGATGAGGAGTCCCGATGCGCTTGCGGCGGAATGTGGCCGGTCTCCAATCGGATTAGTGGTGATAAGCACGTGCAACACCTTTTCAGCTGGAAATTCTTAGCAATGGCACACCATGCCTGATGAAGGCCGCCGGCCCAACCGACCCTGTCCTTGTTGAGGTCTTGGCTCGTGCTCACTTGAGCTCCTCGCGTGACGTGACTCATTTGCTTCCCCTCATCCCTCTTGCTCTCTGCGGGAGTCAACAGTGTGCAGTGGTACAGGGGGATTGATAGTTTCTTCTCATGAGGCAACCTTTAAAAGCGTTATTTTTTTAAAGCAAAAGAAAACCTTATACCCCCACCCCCTCCCCTTTTCTTGTCATTCATTTTAACTCTCTTTCCCTTTCTCTCTCTCTCTCTCTGCTCCTTTCTCTTGGCACGACTTCAGCGCTCTGCAGAATGACGCGTGGCTGAAATCCCCAATCTGTCGTAAAGTGGGTGTCGCCCCTCTGCAGAGAAAAAAATCTGTAACATTTTCCGGCCTCTTTTCCACGCCCAGTTTTCCTCGTCGAGTGATCTACATTGTTCTAATGGCTGCTCTATCTGTTTCAGCTTCTACTGGGACCTATGTATGCTTTTGCTGCTTGTGGCCAACCTTATCATACTGCCTGTCGCCATATCCTTCTTCAACGACGACCTCAGTACGCGATGGATAGCTTTCAACTGCCTTTCGGACACTATATTTCTTATAGATATTGTTGTCAACTTTCGTACCGGTGAGTTTTCACAATTTAAAAAATGCTGGAGGTAACATTGTAAAGTAGGTCACCCCCTTTTCACCTACATTTTTCCTACCGTACGTAACATTATGTTCACATCACTGTTCACAGGCATAATGCAACAAGACAATGCAGAACAAGTAATATTAGACCCCAAAATAATAGCAAAAAACTACCTCAAGACTTGGTTCTTTTTGGATCTCATCAGTTCAATACCTCTAGACTATATCTTTCTGATATTCAACCAGGTGAGTGGCATCATTGACTCCTGTTGGAAGCATGTGGTGTTTAAATACGTGTGCAAAATTTGAAAGATGAGTTGCAACAAATCCTTCCAATAATTCAAGATAAACTTGAAAACAATTGAGCAGAACGCTTAAACGAAAGAAGGGATGAATCGATCCCGAAATTGTCACGGTGCTATACTTAGAAATTCTCCTGGATTAAGCAACTCAATTAGTGCCTTATCAAGTGTGTTTGGCAATTTTGACAGCCTTTTGTGTTACTGTGTGGCTTCGTACCAATACGAATGAAGCTGGTTTGCCATTTGGTAGAGTACGGTTTACTATTTGGTGTGTGGTAGTTTTGATGGTTCTCGTAGAATTTTTGTGTGTGCTCTCCTGGGGTTGTGACCAGTGGTCAGGGGCTGTCCGTAAGTCACGTGCAAGTATACAGGAAATTGAATTGCGTGAATGGGGCTCACGTTTCGGCATGTCACTTTATATTCGAACACTTGTTTCTACAGGTGTGTGAAATTCTGGGGATAATATAGACCTTTACTTACACGAGTGTCCGAATTTATATCCACATGCTTAAAGGGTGGTCCGTCAGCCCTGGTTCTCTGGTTAGACTATATCGGATACAGGCGTGCGGCGTGCGGGTGGGCTTGCCTATCGTCGCTCATCGAGGCGCCTTACGGCACCGTCCGAGTATGCAACCGTCTGCACGCCTGCATCATGTAGTACAACCTAAAGAAAGGGCGGGGCTGACAGACCACCCTGCATAAGTGTGTGAAGGTGCCCCCACAATGAGCGCGAGGCGATGCCGGGTAGGCGATGCCGTGCAGCCAGGCCGTGCTTGCAGGCCGTGCCGGCAGGTTTACCGACTTTTGTGCGAATACAGCTTTACTTAGAAGATCGGAGGCGTAGCTCCGCGCAACCGGCACGGCCTGCAAGCACGGCCTGGCTGCACGGCATCGCCTACCCGGCATCGCCTCGCGCTCATTGTGGGGGCACCTTTACATACACACACACTTTTGTGTTTTCGTTTTGTCGTTTTGCCCCTTCCCTCCTTTCCCCGTTCTTTTCTTTTACCTGTCACTTAGTTGTTGCATCAAATCAGTCAGCATTCTAAAATGGTAAATTAAGTAAAAAACTAACAAAATGAACGTTCTGAACGTTACGTTCAAATGACGTTTCCTAGTTCAGCAGTCTAATTTGGGGTTCTTTTGCCCCCTCTTGTATTCATAAGTTAAACAACTCCCTCTTCCCTCCCCTACCCTCAAGAATTCCGTGGTATAGGGACAGCCCCGAGGTCCGAGGTGTTTCATTTTAAAGCGGTGAACTGGGAAGCATGGTTTTGGTGTACGCATCTATATTTTTTAATAATACAAGCATTCGGGTGAATTGGTTGGCTTTTACTTGAGCTCTTCTTTGAAATTGTGAAATTTAAATGGGAATCTTTCATGTGGATCGGGCGAGTTCACTATGGCCAAGGTCTCGAAAACATTTTAGCTATGACCCCATCCTGTTGCAGTTCGCAAAGTGGAAGGGACAGTCATCGAACTCGGTAAGTTACCCCTTAGCCCAGAGAGAATGAAAATGAGTGAGTGTTTGAACGAGTGAGAGAGTGAAAAAGTGAGAGTCAGAGCAGTTTTGCCTGTAGTTATATTAAATCATCGTACCTGATCGACTGCCTTGCCGCACGTTTCCTAAGGTGCATGCCGGCTAGGGCGTTAATCGAATGACTGCTGTTATTAATTTTATAACTCGGTGGGTTTCTTCCGCTCGCACTACCAAGCATGTTTCTCTACGCATGCAGTTTCATAAGAACATTTTGTTCTTTAATAAACGCCATTAAATGATGAGAAATATTTTCTAGTAATGTTGTTGGCTGTTTATGAAGGTTGCTTTCTGTAGTTTCAAACTCGTGAAACAGGTAAATATTAAATCTCTCCCAAAGAAACGAGTTCTCTATTATTATTTTTTGTAACAAGCACAAGGTTAACATGTTCTTGTTGAACTTGTTCTTGTTGAACAAAAATAACTGCAACTTTAATTAAATTTTTCAAATGAGGCCCCGCGGTTTCTAAATGAGCTTTTATGCAATAAAAATTAAACCTGCCCGGAAACTTAAAACAAATAATTATATTCTCACATCTAGTGCACACATGTACTAGTTTATCTTTCACTGTTTACATGAAAAACGCACTGCGCTTTTATTTACCTCAGACATTGCTTCTGCAAGAATATCTGTCCTCTTGTACTCTGTGTTGATTTATTTCCTCGCGTATTTTTCCAGGACTTCAGCGAAAGCTTCCAAATACTGCACGCAGGAAGAGCACTTCGTATCTTGCGGCTGGCGAAGCTCCTGTCTCTCGTGCGGCTGCTCAGGCTGTCCAGGCTCGTGCGATACGTCAGCCAGTGGGAAGAAGTATACGTAAGCATATCTTTTCTTATTATAACAAAAGAGCACATAGACACGATTTTATTTTGGTCTGAGAACAAATCAAGATACTTTTTTATGTGAAAATATAATGTTGGTGCTCCTGCAGTTTGTGTACACTAAATCTACACCATCAGGGTCCCACTTTCTTAAACCTTAGCAAAACAAATTCACTGGTTTCAGAGTGTACATCTGCCTTGAATTTCACTAGACACTGTCTAGCACTTCGTGCACGAAATGTTCGTGTCACATTTTAAAGATAATGCACTAGACCATTGCAATGTCCACACGTCATGTGCTAGCGCGTTTCCTCGAATTTGTATTGAGCTTCCCCACAAAATACGATGGCATTTGTCTCGCTTTCATGCAATCATAAATATGACCTGCCTGCGTAATTTGTGGATGCTCACCATGTTTTTTTCTTTGTTTTCGTATAAGTTCTACCATCTAAGCAAAGCGGAAATAATCATCATTCTTCTCCTTATCTTGTTAATCTAAAATTTCTCTTTTTGTGGTTTCTTGTGGTGGTTACGAGAATTAGCGTGTGCGAGAGTGAGTGTGTGCGTACGTCCGGTCTCTGTGAGCATGAGTGCGTGCAAGTGTGTGTGTGGCTGGCACGAAAGTGTTCTGTTTTAGCTGCCTCCTCCTCCATCGCCCAGCGGACATCTTGGATATGAATCGACGGCGCGTAAGCGCTCCCAAGGATCCTCCCCGCCCGGATCTGAGGGCGGGAGAGACACCCCACAGCTTCAGAAGGTGGGGCAAAACTGCCTGCCGTCACAACCTCCGAATTTGTGTTGTTGTGGTTGTGAATGTTGTGTTTTTTTTTCTTGTCGTTCGGTGTTTTTATCGTTGTATATTTGTTTATTTGAGAATGATTTCCGATAAGGGCGCTGGTCGGTGTGGAGCCTTGTCTGCCGGATAAGCGACAGTCTTTTTGCACTCTTCTAAGGCGGGGATGCAATATAGGCTCTAGACTTGAGAACAAAAGTGGGGTGTATATGAGGGTCTCTCTCCGACTGGCGCCCTTTACATTATGTTTTGTGCCTAGACTGTTTGCATAGAGGTTCGTTTGGATCTTGAGGTCGTGCAATATGACCCTTCCCGACGTACGCCGGGCCGCCGCCTGCCCCATGGCAGGGCAGAGTAGAGAAATGACCTCCCTGCTTTGACGAGACGGGCCGGTCGGCCCAACCCGATGCATAGCATGCTGGTTTGCGCTTCTTTGGGGCTCCGGAGAGGTGTTCGACAAATGTTACATCAACTTGATCTTGCTAATTCCGAGCACGAGCAATTTTCCTGACTTGTGAATGTCGAATGGTGTTCGTAGAATAGATTGTGTGTTGGTGTGTCCGCGTGGTGCACGTGATCTTTTTGTTTTACAACCCCAAAAATGTGTCAAAGAGCCGAACTTTCAAATACTGTACATTTAAGTCACTGAAAAACACCAGCAAGTTTAGATTGAGGTAAACTGAGAGCAGAAATTACGACAGGTCTCAATAGTCAAATGCGTTTCGAACGGAGTCGTCAGGCCATACCGTGTTTAAAAGAAACATTACTACTTATGCACACACTTTTCCAAGTAGCCCATCTCCGTAATTTTTGATCCAGTAGAAACTTTCTTTATCGTAGATGTTGAAATTTGCACATTTATACTACTAGTCCGTGTTGACACCCTTTCCTCAATCCATGACGCCTCAAACCCTGAGTGACTAGTTTACTGGAGCTCGTAATCGAGTCACACAAGTTTGTTCATGTTGACATAGCACACACTGTTTAATTTCAAAGACATTGCACTTGAATTTGATACGATTTGAAAGTTTGTTTTGTTTTCAATTAGATATTTTCCTTTCTATAATTATCATACTGATCCCCGCCCGCCTGCGCTGGCACACACGCACACAATTGTAGATAATACAACCTTTTATGAGTAGCCCGGTCCTCATAGAGTTGTATTCTCACTGTGTAAAAAGTCGCATGTCAGCCTGCGAGATTGTAACAAGAATGATATTGTAAAATAAATTTTATTTGTAAGTGACGATTGTACATAGAGGTCTTTCTTTTCTGCCAGCTTAAAGACTACTGCCTCAGTTCACAATCTACTGCTTACGGAATAGTTTATCGAGACCTTAAACTAAAATGTACGCTGGAGACTCACGAGCAATTGAGCCGCGCTGAGGACCAAAGCTGTTTGCCACTACGAGTCAAACTCAAGTAGTTTCACGTCACTGGTCGAGTGTGCCGGAAGACGTACGCGCTGCCGGTTGCGATCTACTTGGATTTCGAACATAAGTGGCGAGCTGCGTGCGTTTTAGTTTCAGTTCGATATATGCTGCGCTACTAATTTACAATTTAATTGTAATGTGTTTGCTGGCAATGGGGAGACTTACAGAGTCCTACCCATCTACTTTCCCCGTCTTAAAGGAATTATGTCTTATATTTCCGGAAGTGATTAACAAAATCAATTACACTAGCAGGCACTCCGGGCAGTAGATCAAAGCATGTTCCCAGTATTTAGAGTGACAAGAAAATATTTAATTCGTAAATTTTGTTCGCAACCAAGCCTGGCAAATTATAGTGGATCGACTTTGTATCAGCTCCAGCCCTCCACGCTTACATGTGTTTCAAGCTCATTAACTGGCTTAAAATCGGAAAAGAATAAAAAAGAATTCTACGTAAAGAGAAAATTTGCCTTTCAATTCAGTATTAATGTACGCAATCAAACATGGTGTTCAGTAGCATTCATCATTCATCTTAATTATTTACCATTTTTTTATAAATTTTATTAACTTTAACTTCGACTACGTAAGCGTGAGTGCTATCTTTCCGTTCAGTTTCGTAGGTATTGAGTGTGATTTGGAGCTGGTTTTGCGATCGTGTGTTTGTGTGTCTTTGAAAACCCTGTATTGCAATTTGATTTGAATGTACTCGGTTGTGAAATGTGTCCAACTGCATTTTGTTTCTCTCTCACACTTTGGTAGTGGCGATTGCTGCAGAGGGAGACAGAGCGAGTCCATATGCCTCATGAGAGAAATAAAAGCTTTTAGAGCATCGCCAGCAAATTACGTTACACGTGCACTAATTTGGGGTCCCTAAATGTTAAGAAATATACATGAAAATAGATTCCATTTATAATGTCAGTAAACTTCAAGCATTGCATTACTTCTGAAATTTCGACTCTTCTATTTTGGGATACTTCAATCGTCTTGCTTGAAGTGGTTAACTTAGATCGTCGATGGGGGAAACGGATTACGTGAAATAACAAACACTACCAATATTTCGAAGCAATTAGCGACAGAGAAATAACGGGGCAGTATCACCCCTTGTTTGTAATTGCTTTGTACATGCACGCCATAGAAAGAGATGAGAGGCCTGACTTAATTGGTTTCATAACTTATCTCTAAGCTTTAGCGACGTGCTTGGCTAGTACGTCGCTTTCTCTCCCTCTTTTCGCTCTCTCGCTCACCTCTCCCTCTGACTGCAGTTCCGAAATTCTTCTCACATTGCTAAAGTAACGTTTGCGTTGACCAGCTTTGTTTCGACTAACCTAATTTCACTTCTGATTTTTGTGAGTCAATGGAAATGTTAGCCTGCTTAAAAGAAGTTTTAACTCATTAGCCTTGTAAAACACTTCACAATCAAATTCCCCTAACCTTTCTAAACACTGGTGCAACGGCCTTTTTGCCTTCTCTACCTCATGTTTCTTGGCTTCTTTTTTCTAGATCTTGCAGAATCTGCAAAAAAAGCGCTCTGAAAGACGGGGAAGGCGCGCTTCTGATGCTGCCACCAAGAAAAAGTCTAGGTTCACAAAAAGCAACCTGATTTTTAAGGTAACCTTCCTTGGAGCTGCTGGCGCTGCTGCTATACGGCCTGTACCTCCAGCTTGCCTGCTTGCATGGCTAGCTTCCCCTCGTACCTTTGCTTTCTCCTAAATCTAATGACAATATATCGTACGTAATTTAATCGTTTTTAAAAATATCAATTAAATGTGGCAACATCGGTGCGGGCAGGCTGACAAGTTTAAGGTTAAATTATTTTTAAGTGATTTTTTGTAAATGATTTTTAAAATGTCCTACGCTTGCACGGCAACGCATGATTGTATCCCTTAAAGTCTGCATGCTAGTTCAGCTCTGATCTATTTATTCAAGGCCACTAGCGCACACTCCCGTCTTTTATAAAGAGTCAGATTATCACCACCCGATAGCACCATCCTTCTCTCACCGTTTGTGTCGCTCATGCCTCCTTCCCCTCCTTACATCGACCCCCTGCATGCAACCTACATCGTTTGCCTGTTGGTCATTGTAGCCCAGGCTGCATTCGGATCTCCATACTTACATGTATGCCATCGTTCTTTTTACATGCCGCCCTCCGATATGCTGCATCTTTTCCTGCAATAAAATGAGTGTTTTAATTTACGTTGGGGGTGGGGAAAAATATTCACAAAGTTATCAACCAGAGTAATTCAGATTTCTCTCCAGAACTTTGGTAACTGACTTCCCTCGCGAGACAACACTATGAATGACTCCCACCCTATGTAGAGCATGGAGCGTAATGCATGCCTCTTCATCCTCCGTCTTCTTTCTCCTGTCTGTTGTAATTTTGCTCTCTGCATGTGACGCGAATGACCGGCACCCCAGCAGCGCCACGGAGGGCCTTGGCAGGCTATTGGCCGCGGCCACCCAGCACCAGAGTCAGGGGGACTGAGAGGGAGAGAGACTAGAGGGAGAGGAAGAGGATGAGGATCAGAGATTAGATTCAGCTTTTAGACGCTGCCGTAGGCTCCGACGGCTCTGTTCGAAACCAACGCGTAAAGAGTATGAGACTATTGTGAAGGAGCTGAAACCCCTCTTTTTGTTGCAATAACTTTGTCCTGAGAGTGTAAGAGAGTGTTCAAGAAGATGTGGTTCGTGAGCATTGCTTTTTTAAAGCTGCTTTCTTTTTTACTCGTCAGATCTTCATTCTGCTCCTCATTAATAATTATGAGGTCAATCTCAACCACACACCTTGGTTTCATGTTCTTTTATGTTGTCCAAATTCTAGCACCGCTTGTAACAGGCTTCGCTTCGTTTGGCGGAGCTAGACATCAGGCGCAGAGCAATGGTCACAGTATCGGTCTTGTTGGTCGAGAAATGCAGGTTTGCTGTCGATGTACTGGTAATTGTTTGCGGTCAAAGCTGGCATTCAACTTCAAATATTCTCATCCACTCTACGAAGTTGTTTTTTTTTTACTAGACGAAGTTCGGCTTTGACCGTAAGCTTGCTTGTTAGATTTAATTGTTGCATGAACATTATATTTGATGTGGATAGCTACATATGTAGCGCACGTTAAAACACTAGCCAACAAAATGCACCGGTACCAACGTTTAGCTAGATATGACGCCCCTTCAATTAACCGACATTGCGTGGTTTACCAGTCTGAAGCCCCTGTAATCCATAGATGTATATGCATGTTTCACTTGAATCGTTTATAAGTTTTCAAGAGATGTCTGAAATGAACATTAGAGACGGCACGAATATATAATATAATGTAACGATCCTGTCAGTCGAGAAATACTTTGTAAACATGTTAAACCTGGCCCTTGTCTGAGCTCAGGCACGGGTTTCTACCAGTTGACTACTTCGCCAAATCTTCACCTTGAGTGTGTTATCACGCACAGAATAAATTGACCCCAAATAACCACGGAAATATTCGTGTTTATTTACCTTGTAATGTTATACGCAAGATGTGAATTGGTTGTGGGAATCTGTTCGGGCAATCTGCTTATCTCAACAGCATGAGCAATGTCATTATACTTGAAAAGAAAAACAATTGTTTGTTAAGTATGATCATGTCTACAAACTGCAATGCAGTAATGATTGCTTTGTAACCTTTTATCATGAAGCATTATTGCTGCATATTTCTATGTCATAACTCTTTTCCGTTATATTTTCTTTTTCAGCTTTTTATTTTATGTACACGATGCTAATTACACGCCGTTTCATGCCCACATTTCGCGTGTTATATTTCGTGTGCTGCCGTTGCATCTCTCATTACATTATTGTTTCTTCTAAACAGAAAATGAACATGTAATACGTCGTATCTTACACTATAAGAATGAAATATCTCGCCTTTATCGTTTAAATCTTGGTGGGTTATATGGGTTCAAGCACTTGCTTTCTGCAATGCATCATCATGCCTCAACAGGGAACATTTTTCTTCATGTTCATCAAGATGCACGGGCCATCCCCTCGTCTACCCCCTAAATAATATTTCGGTGTTGTTACAGTTCCTCAACATGGCAAGCGTCTTCATGCGAATATTCAACCTCATCTGCATGATGCTGCTCATTGGCCACTGGTCGGGTTGCCTGCAGTTCCTCGTCCCCATGCTCCAGGGCTTTCCAGCCAACTCCTGGGTCGCCATCAACGAGCTCCAGGTTTACTATTGTTTCAATATTAAGTTTGACAGATTAACAGGTGCCCTATGAATTCAATTTTGTTGTTTGGTCATAGTTTTAAATTTACTCATTTGCATGCATATTTATCATTTACTAGAAAAATAAATGCTGGCCACAACATTCGGCATTGCTAATTGTGCAACAAAACCACGGGTTTTGTTTTGTTTTTGAGATGAAGGCTATTTTTGTTGTTTTTTCAATAAGTAGGTGTTTAAATGTGTAACATTTGGCCATGTTTCATAGTTTAGCCCCTAAATGCATTTCCTAATGTGTCAATCTGTTAATTGTTCAAAGTGAAAGCTTATCCTCCAAAGCCAAGGATTTTTTTAACACCAATCTGGTCTTTGATGTTTAGGACGCATTTTGGCTGGAGCAGTACTCGTGGGCGCTGTTCAAGGCCATGTCGCACATGCTGTGTATCGGGTATGGCCGCTTTCCCCCGCAGTCCCTCACGGACATGTGGCTCACTATGCTCTCCATGATCTCGGGGGCCACTTGCTACGCGCTCTTCCTCGGCCACGCGACCAACTTAATCCAGTCCCTTGACTCTAGCAGACGGCAGTATCGGGAACGGGTTAGTCAAAACTGCACAAATACATTTCCGATGAGGGGCCCTCCAGAAAGAACGTCCGCCATTCGCTGTTGCGGTTGCGAACCTGTGAGACTCAGCCTCTGCAAGCTCTCTTAGCGCCTGCTGGGTAGGCAATATCGTGTCTGCAATGCATGCGTGTACTGCAGGGTGGCCTACACTCAGTTTCACAGGCGCTGAGCTCGCGTAAATAATGAGCCAAATGTGTTTGAGAAAAACGGACGAACTTTCTGGGTGGTCGCCTGTTACTGAAAGAAATATTTCCTTACCCTTAACAACTGTATATTTTCTTTGAAGGTGAAACAAGTCGAGGAGTACATGGCGTATCGCAAACTGCCTCGGGAGATGAGGCAGCGAATAACAGAGTACTTTGAACATCGGTATCAGGGCAAGTTCTTCGACGAAGAAGCTATACTTGGCGAGCTTTCCGAAAAGCTGAGAGAGGTGGGTTTACGAGTCCAAACTTTCTGCTCATATAATTTCACTCGAATCCTCACGTGTCTCTTCCCGCCCTTAAGGACGTGATCAACTACAACTGCCGGTCGCTGGTAGCATCCGTCCCCTTCTTTGCCAACGCTGATGGGAACTTCGTGTCAGACGTGGTGACCAAGCTGCGCTACGAAGTCTTCCAGCCAGGTGATTATTGTGTCGCCAGTTTCAGCACTCCGCCTAGGAGCTGGTTCGATTTAGAATTGCATTTTTAATTGTTATGGATTTCAATCATGTATAAACAAAACGTTGCTCGGCAGGCGACATTATCATCAAGGAGGGCACGATCGGAAACAAGATGTACTTCATCCAGGAGGGCATCGTCGACATTGTCATGCTCAACGGGGATGTGGCCACCTCTCTCTCGGACGGATCCTACTTCGGCGAGATCTGCCTGCTGACGAACGCGCGGCGGGTGGCCTCGGTGCGAGCCGAGACGTACTGCAACCTCTTCTCGCTGTCCGTGGATCACTTCAACGCCGTCCTGGACCAGTACCCGCTCATGCGTCGCACTATGGAGAGTGTGGCGGCCGAGAGGTGCGGCTCGTGTGCCAATGGCGCCCGTAGTTGTAGCGATGACGACAGTACCAGAGGTGCCAGCGTAGACAAGGCGGCCAACGGCGTCAATAACGACATAAACACCACGCACCTCTAGTTTGAAAAATTGAATAGGTTGCGACTTTGCTTTCGTCTTGGGTGGTGTGTAGGGGGGCTACTTGACAACAGTTATACCGTGGAGTCTCAGGGAAATTATTTTGGAAAGGCTGTGATAATAAGTATGAAATGGTAAAGTTAGTTATTTTTCAAAGAACTTTATCAGTGTTCTGAAGGGACCGCAGGAAATAAAATTAAGAATAGTTCAATTGTGCTCATATGTAATAAGAACTGAAAGGGATTGTCGATTATTAATGGAAGTGTTATGGTAAATTTCTCTCATCAGCATGTGGCTTGTCAGTCAGTGCATGGTTTGGTTCGTGCTAGTCATGCGAGCATGTTGGCTGAGTGCGTCCTAAAATACGTTTATAACTCTTTTAATCTCTCATCGTATCGATAGGAAGTAAGTCATGATTATTGAGTGAATTATTTCTCATTTCAAAGGCATTTAATAATGCTAGCAAGCACTGATGCTTAAGTTTCTGCTTTACGAAGCGAACTGATGAAACTGTGAAAATGGGGAAAAAATAAAACTTAAGGCTGTGAGAATTGGCATGCTGCCCTCACTTAAACTGTGATTAATACCATGGAAATCGTCTGTAACTGTGTAGGGCGACTTGTTGCTAGATAGCCCGTTCGTCCATCCGTCAGGCAGCATGAGCAGCGCCGGGCATTGTAGGCAACCCATCGTGCGCTCTGGGCTGCGCGCTTTTTCGAGGCTAAATCGAATACATCTGCTTGGCTGTTCAAACGAATGACATAAATAAAAAATGACGCAGCGGAATGCAGCATGCGTTTGTGATCTGCCCTGCCAACCGCTTCCTCAGCCCTGTAAATGATACAGAGATACTTTGTGAACGATAAATGAAAACAAAAGGCACTCGGTCCCGGTTGAGGTCCCATGTCCGGGCCTGCCGCGCACGAGACCTTTGCGTTCAAGCCCCAGTAATAACAACTTGTGGCGTACACGGAAATGGGCGTGTTCCGGGCTGTGCGTGTCCACTGGTGGCCCCCCGCCCGCCGGGCTTCACCTGCGATAGGCAACCCATTTAGCGTACGCGTAACCGCGGCTGCCTGCAGGGCCGGCGCCGCACGGGCAGGCCGGGATGCTACCTGTCCCGATCGTTCGTAGTAGAAGCCTGTATTTTTGAAGTATGGGTCGTTGTGATGCGGTGTAGTTTTAGTACAGTGCAATATACTTTTTTTAACGGCGCGTTTCCTTGTTAGCGGAGGTTCTGTTCTGATTGACCGTGTAAAGAAAACCGCAAAACCGCGTGGACTTACGCTGACATTTTGCTTTGCTCATTTTTTTTACAGACTCAACAAGATTGGCAAGAATCCCAACCTGGTGTCGCACCGCGAGGAGGAAGAGGAGGAGCTGGGCTCGGACTCCAAGACCATCAATGCGGTGGTGAACGCGCTGGCCGAACAGGCCGAGATTGTGGACACGTCGGAGGAGTCGGTTGGGCGACACTCCTCTTCGGAGACCTCCAAGAGCCTGCACGAGCTGGCGGGCCACTCGCTGCACATCCTGAACCTCCCGCGGCCCAAGAGCGAGAACAACTTCGCGGCGGTGCAGGAGCTGCCGCCGCTCGCCTCGCTGGCCGTGGGCGCCGCCCGCCCCCTCTTCCACAAGTCGGACACTTTTCACAAGGACACCGCGTTCCAATGACCCTGACCCTAGCCCGCTGGGGCCAGGCCACCAAAACTACTCTTATTTTTGTACTCGGGGTGACTCGCAGACCAATCATCATCACCCATCCTTTCTCCCCCTGTCCCCACCTCCTTTCCCTAC